TGTGATCCACCCCCTTTGGCATCTCAAAGTGCTAGGATTACCGGCGTGAGCCACCGCGCCTGGCCAGTATGATGGTTTTTAATTATAACAAAAAGAATTAAATAAACAAATGAAGAAGAAAAAAATCTTCCTCACCGGAGGCATGTGGAGGAAATAGAGCCACCCTGCCTTCATTCCATAGCAGACATCTCCTGATGTCATCCTATGTGACAGGATCTGGGCTGGGGCTGGACTATGACAGGCCCCCTCAGGAGCTCACAGTCTCCTGGCAGGACGGAGGTGACATCATGAGTGTGCAGTTATCTTGTATACAGGCACCCACCCACTTCTCCTCTTTCAGCTTCTCTAGTTGAGTGCCATATTTTGCTTTTTCTCAGTACTCTTTTTGTAAATTGAGATATAAATTACATGAAATAAAATGCACCCATTGTAAGTATACAGTTTGATGTGTTTTGACAAATGTAGGTCCCTGTGTAACTGCCACCCTAATCAAAATAAAGAACATTTCTTAGCACTCCAGGAAGCTTTCTCCTGCCCCCACCTCAGGCAACCACCAATCTAATTTCTGTTACTGTAGCTTACTTTTGCTTGTTCTAGAATTTCATAAAAATGAAATCATGCAGTATGTACCTTTTGAGTCTGGCTTCCTTCCCTCAACTTGCTGTCTGAAGAATGCATCCACATTGCTTTGTTTATTAATGGTTCGTTCCTTTTTCTTGCTGAGTAGTATTCCATTGTGTGGATGTACGACAGTTTTTTTATCCCTTCACCTGTTGATGGCCACTTCACCTGTTGATGGACTACTTCACCTGTAGTCCCAGTTACTTGGGAGGCTGAGGCAGGAGAATGGTGTGAACCCGGAAGGTGGAGCTTGCAGTGAGCTGAGATCACGCCACTGCACTCCAGCCTGGGCGACAGAGTGAGACTCTGTCTCAAAAAATAAAAAAAATTAAAAAATAAAAAAAAACAAGATTAGGAAACAAAAAGAAGCCAGAAAGAGCCGAACCAGGACTGCACAGGCACAAGTGTCCCAACTCCCCACATCCTCACCAGCAGCTGGTAGTGCCTCCTTTTGAAGCCATGTCAGTAGACATGCAGTAGTATCTCATTGTGGTTTTAATTTGCATTCCTAGATGTCTCATGATGTTGAGCACCTTTTAACGTGCTTATTGGACATTCATATATCTCTTTTAGTGAATCGTCTGTTCAAATCTTTGGCCCATTAAAAAAATTGGGTTGCCTCTTCTTAAGAATGAGTTGCAGTTCAGAGCCATCACTGTGTGTGTGTGTGTGTGTGTGTGTTTGAGACGGAGTCTCCCTCTGTCACCCAGGCTGGAGTGCAGTGGCACGATCTCAGCTCACTGCAACCTCAGCCTCCCAGGTTCAAGCAATTCTCCTGCCTTAGCCTCCTGAGTAGCTAGAACTATAGGGGGCACGCCACGACACCTGGCTAATTTTTTGTGTTTTTAGTAAAGATGGGGTTTCACCATGTTGGCCAGGCTGGTCTCCAACTCCTGACCTCAGATCAACCTGCCTCGGCCTCCCGAAGTGCTGGGATTACAGGTGTGAACCACTGCGCCCGGCCCAGGGCCATGTTTTTAATAACACCAATGGGAACCAGATTTCTCTCTGTTAGAACCCTCACCTGGCCTCCTCCTAGGGAATTGTCAGTAAAATCCAAACACCAGGTTCTGGTCCTTCACAGTCTAGCCCTGCCCCTTCTCTGACGAGCTCCCCCCATCTTCCCCCTCCCACCACACACCTTGGCTCAGTCCTTTCTTTGACGCTCCCTGCCTGGCTGTCCTCCCAACCAGCCAGACATCGGTTATCTATTACCAGGAACACCTTAATCAGGATTCTCTGGATATGTTTAGTGTTTATTTCACCACCACCACCAGTAGTAGCAGAAAAAGCCAGGGCCTTGCTGTACCCTAGGCTGTTGGATGAATAAATGAATGTCAAGAAAGGCTTCTCTGAGGAAGCAGTACTGCATTACAGTCACTGAAGAATAAGGAGGAGTTAATTAGAGAAGAAGGTGGAGAAGCATTCTGGGTAGAGGGGTCAGCATGGACAATGGCTCTGTGGCATGGTTTGTTTCAGGAACTGTAAGAGGTCCATGGGAGAGGTAGGGGAGGGAAGAACAGCAAGGGGTTATGTTTTCCTTCTATACCAAGACCCTGTACAGGATGGGAAGCTCCCAAGGTTTTGTGCGTGTGTGTGTGCATGTGTGTGTGTGTGTGTGTGTGTGTGTGTGTGTTTTTATCTTTGTGGGGAGGAAATGGAAGTGTTACGGGATCTCTGGGGTGTTAATTTTCTGGTTGGAAACCTCTGTGGCCAGTGTGGCACCTTTGCCTGAGTTCTTGTCTTGCCACCAGGAAGAATGAGGTACACAGACAAGTGGAGGGAGAACAAGTCAACAAGGAGGTTTACTGAGTGCTAGAAAGCTCAGAGGAGACCCACAGTGGGTAGCTCTTCTCTGTAGGGAGATCATCCCATTGAGTGTTCAGCTCTCAGCAGAGAGGAGGCCCTAGAGAGTGTGGCTCCTCTCTGTAGCTGGTCCCCCCAACCTCTGCTCAGCTTTGGCTGAGCCTGGGGCTTTTATGGGCCTCAGAGTGGAGGAAGTGTGAGCCCAGTTGATCTATGGGCAGCCATGGGTGGGCCAGAAAAGGCAGTACAAGTTCCCACTCTGGTTGGTCGGACTGGCAACCTGGCCCCCAGCCTTCAGGCGCCTGGCCTGAAGGTGGGGCCTCACTGGGACCTGCCCACTTCCAACCAGGAATCTATCTGCCTCTTGCTGCCATTCATGAAGCCCAGGCTTGCCCTGACTTTGCTCCCAGATCAAAGCAGGTGTCCAAAGCAGGAAGAAGCCAGGCAGCAGCAGAAGGCACTTCTGAGCCTGGGAGAGCAGGTGAGGGCCTTCCTGGGCCCCTAAGAGTACAGGGATGCCTGAGCCTGCAGCTGTGGTTTGGGTGGCTGTAGCTGTGTGAAGAGGGGGCTGGGGGCTCCTGTCTGCCCCATGGAGGAGGCCCCAGTCTGCAGTTGCGGTTTGGGTAGCTGCAGCTGCACCTGGGAGGGCAGGGCTCCTGCCTGCTCCATAGAGTGTGTAGCCCAGGCCATGCCTCCCTGCTGTGGCTGAGTGTTGACAGCAGCAGGTTGTCTGGAGCCATGGCTGCCATCAGAAGTGACCAATGACTGGTGATTGTCATGAGTGGTACAAGGTCAAGAGATAACCAGGTCTGGCCAGGGGTGGTGGCTCACGCCTGTAATCCCAAACTTTTGGGAGGCCAAGGCAGGAAGATTGCTGGAGGCCAGGAGTTCAAGACCAGCCTGACCAACATGGTGAAACTCTGTCTCTACTAAAAATACAAAAATTAACTGGCTGTGGTGGCACAGGTCTGTAATCCCAGCTACTTGGGAGACTGAGGCAGGAGAATCGCTTGAATCTGGGAGGCAGAGGTTGCAATTGCAATGAGCCAAGATCATGCCACTGCACTGCAGCCTGGGTGACAGAGTGAGACTCTGTCTCAAGAAAGAAAAAATAGATAACCAGGTCCACACATGTTTGTGTCTTTCTACAATGTCAGATTTTTATTCACCCTATACCCAAGAGTAAAAAAACAAAAGCCACGAGATATCCCAAGGAGCCAATTTGCTGCTGCTGCTTCTTTTTTTTTTTTTTTTCTTCGATACAGAATCTCACTCTGTTGCCCAGGCTGGAGTGCAGCTGGAGTGCAGTGGCGCAATCTCAGCTCACTGCAACCTCTGACTTCCGGGTTCAAGCAATTCTCATGCCTCACCCTCCCAAGTAGCTGGGGTTACAGGCCTGTGCTACCATGCCCAGCTAATTTTTGTATTTTTAGTGGAGATGGGTTTTCACCATGTTGGCCAAGCTGGTCTCAAACTCCTGACCTCAGGTGGTCTGCCTGCTTCAGCCTCCCAAAATGCTGGAATTATAGGCAAGGGCCACCATGCCCAGACCCAAGGAGCCAATTTTCCTTAGTACTTCCTGTTCACTCAGTAGTTAGCACACGGGCTCAAGCCACTATACAAGTCAGTCAGTCAATATTGCAAACCATACCTAATAGTATACTTAATCCACAAGTAAATGTTATAGATTAAACATTCCACAGCAAACAAAGTAGCATTTAGCATCAAGAGAAAAAGAGATAGGAGAAATGGTTAAGGAACCAGCCCCAGCGGAAGGAAGAAGACAAAAGGAATCCTGGTCTGGGCTTGAGGGTCTTGCAGTCTTTGAGGGGCAGAGCCTTGGGAGGCAGATGCAGAGTTCTTATCAAGTATGGCAGTGGGATGGTTGTCAGCTAAGGCTGCTGGGCTGCTGTTTTGTACTCACAGAGTGCTCTGGTGAGAAATGAGAGTGGAACAGTGTGCTTCATTGGATGCAGTCTTTATTTATTTATTTATTTATTTATTTATTTATTGAGATGGAGTCTTGTTCTGTCGCCCAGGCTGGAGTGCAGTGGTGTGATTTCGGCTCACTGCAACCTATGCCTCCCGGGTTCAAGCGATTCTTGTGCCTCAGCCTCCCGAATAGCTGAGATTACAGGCATGTGCCACCACACCCAGCTAATTTTTCTATTTATAGTAGAGATGGGGTTTCACTGTATTGGCCAGGCTGATCTCGAACTCCTGACCTCGTGATCCACCCACCTCAGCCTCCCAGCGTGCTGGGATTACAGGCATGAGCCACAGCACCTGACCTTCTATTTTTTATTAAACAAAACATCTTGTCCTTGTTGACAAAGCACCCTATGAAATATAAAATGAAGTCTTTCTAAGATGGAGTTACTTATATCAAGGGTGCACAGTACTGTGGTACAAGCTCTCTCCCGGCTGCTGAGAGAGAAAACCTAAGGGCCTCTTAAAGACACCATCACAGCAGTTCAGCAGGTAGCGGGCAGGAATGGTTTCGGATCTAGTGGTGGTGAGAAGTGGACAGAGATCAGAGAAAGCTACAGGAGGTGAAAGTGGGAGGACCTTGGTTACAGACTGCCGGTGAAGACGGACAAGGACAATCTGCAGGTCTCTGCTAGTCGGGTGGAAGGAAAGGAGGGGGCAGTGCCCTTTACAGAGGCACAGCAAGCTGGGTCTTGATCATGCTGAACTCCAGACACTCTCCAGACGTGCACGCATGAGCGTGGCGTGTGTGTGTGTCTGTGTGTGTGTGTGTGTATGTGAGAGAGAGAGATGTGTTGGGGTTGGGGGACTGCAGGTCAGGAAGTCCTGCAGATGTGCCTGCCTGTGTGTGTGTGCGTGTGTGTTTGCGCGCGTGTGTGTGTCTGGGTGTGTGCCTGGAGCTGCGCTTGCAGGTCTGAGAGTCCTCCAAGAATGGGTTGGGGGAGGCGGGTGCAGGACCGAGGCCTGGAACAGCCAACAAAGAGGCCCTGGAGGAGGGTGGGGCTGGCCGAGGACTGGAGGGGTGGCCAAGGAAGTCGCAAGAAAACTCCGGCCCCCAAGAAACAGAGAGGACATGGGGTGCGGAGCTGACATCACGGCCGGGGTCTTTGCTGTTTAGACCCCTGGGTTCCCGGATTCCAGACACGCGCACGGGCAGGAAGTTAGACCAGAGACAGCGAGTATAGACAGCCCTTGTGGATAGGGGCAGACGGGTGGGAGCTCCGAACGGGTGCCGCGGCGGTGATCGGGAAGCCTCCAGCGGCCCGAACCAGGATGAGGGAGAAGGCGGAGTCTGCAGAGGCCCCAGGCCCAGGCGCGGGCGGGTCTGACCCAGCATCCCCCGCCGCTGGGGTCCGAGGGGGAGGGGCGGGCCGGAGGAGCGGGTGGGGGCGGGGCGGGGCGGGGCGGCGGGGGATGCGCCCCTGCGCTAGGCAGTGTCGCCTACCCTCCTTCCGCACAGCCCGGGTTTCCGCTTCCCTCCGGGCGTGAGAAGAGGGGTTCCAGGCCGAGCCCCGGCCGTGCCGCCGCCGCTGCCATGTGGCCCCCAGACCCCGACCCCGACCCGGACCCCGAGCCCGCCGGCGGCTCCCGTCCCGGCCCCGCTGTCCCCGGGCTCCGCGCCCTACTGCCGGCGCGCGCTTTCCTCTGCTCTCTCAAAGGCCGCCTCCTGCTGGCCGAGTCGGTGAGTGCGGCGGGACCCTCGGCCGCCCGCTGAGACTGCGCGGCTCCTTTTGGAGGAGGACGTTGGGGCGCGGGTGGGGTCCGGGGGCGGCAGCTGTACTCCGATACCCCCCCTCCCCGCGCCGCCTCGGCCGATTTCTCTTGGGCGCCCGGCGAAGTTGGGCCTAGGTCCCCAAACTTTGGACGGCGGGGCGGGGCCAGAGCCCAGGCCATCCGCGGTGCTGTCCCCGCGAGTCCAGAGCTGGGGGCCTTGGGAAGCGGGCGGGGCCCGGGGAGGTGGGTCCCGCTGTGTGACCCGGGCGTTCCCGCCCTCTCTGGGCCCCCGGGACTCGGGCCGCTCGGTCCTCCTGGACTCCCGGGCCGCAGCGGGGTCCGCTTTCCTGCGCGCGGGGAGGGCGGGCCGGGGCCTCGACTTGAGGGGCGGAGGCGGGGCCGAGCGGGCGGGGGCCGTGCGGAGTGGGAGGGACACCCCCACCCCCGGGACTGGGTGAGGCGGCCCCGCGGTGACTTCATCGCCCTCCTCCCCTCCGCGGCCGGGCTCCTTCCTACTCCGCGCTCGTCCCTACCCCGGCCGGTGGGGATTCTTTGTCCTCTGGACATCGTAGGCGCCCGCACTGTTCTCCGTGGGGTGGTGGCGGCGCTGGGCCGCCGGGGTTGGTGAGGGAGAGGCCGGACCAGAGGCAGGGGGATGCGCACGGCGGCGGCCACTTGTTGGTTAGATCCCAGCGACTTGGCCCTTCCTGCCCACGTCCCCACTTTACAGATGAGAGCGCTCAGGCGCCTAATTTGACAGGTGGCTCAACTGAGGGGCCCAGTGAGAGCGGGTGGGAGGGTGGGGGCAGGAGGAAGGGGGATTCTGCTCCGGGACCTCTCTCTGGTCGCTCAGGGCAGAGGGTAGAAGGTGGTCCTGCAGCCTCTCCCGCGGTCAGCCCAGAGGCCACCTGCCCAACGCCCAAGTGAGACACCAAGTCCACACTCCCAGCCCCACCCTGGAGACCACTGGGAGCCACTTGAGGGGAGAAGCCTCGAATCCACCGTCCCCTGAGGGACTTGAACCGCCCCCCATCCTCACCCAGGACCACCTCATGGGGGGAGGCATATGCCCAGCAGGAGCATAGAGGCCACCCTGGGCCCAGCAGATGTCAGGAATCCAGGCCAGGGAGGATAAGGAAGGGTGAATGGTCGGCACTCAGGGTTCACAGGAGCCGCTGAGGGCACTCCTGCCTCCCTAGTCCCCTCACTCCCACCCCCAGGCCAAGCAAGTGCAGAGGCTGACATGGACAGAAACAGAGAGAGGAAGTGGCCCCAGAAATCGCGGGATGAGAAAACAGGAATTGAGAGGGGAATCCCCAGAATTAGGCTTTGGGGCCTGGGCATAGGAGACAGGAAGGGGAGGGCCAGGGCTGGGTCGGTCCCACGGAAGGCCTTCCTGGGAGGCCCCAGCAGCCTCCCAGCCCCTGTCTATGCCTTAGTCTATCTGTCCAAAGGGGGCTCAGCTGCACCCAAGGCCATGTGCAGAGCGAATGGGGGTGCCCTGGGGACCCCCTGGGATCCCTGCAGTTCATTTGTCTGAAGCAGCCACAGTGCTTCCTGTGAGGCATCTGGGTGTCCCCATGGGGCCTCCAGCACCCACTAGAAGCTACTCAGCCATGGACGTGTTCAAACGCAGCCACAGTGACAGAAACCAGGACAGATGGCCTCCCCAACACCCCCAGGGCCAAGTTGCTTAAGAACTCTGTCTGGGACGGGTGCGGTGGCTCACACTTGTAATCCCGACACTTTAGGAGGCCGAGGTGGGTGCATCACCTGAGGTCAGGAATTCGAGACCAGCCTGGCCAGCATGGTGAAACCCTGTCTCTACTAAAAATACAAAAATTAGCTGGGTGTGGTGGCGGTCGCCTGTAATCCCAACTACTCCGGAAGGCTGAGGCGGAAGAATCGCTTAAACCCGGGAGGTGGAGGTTGCAGTGAACTGAGATTGTGCCACTGCACTCCAGCCTGGGAGACAGAGCAAGACCCCATCTTGAGGGCAGCGGGAGGTTGGTAAGAGAACTCTATCTGGGGGGTCGGCCAGTCCTGGGTTCAAATTCTAGTAGCCTCTGATTAGCCATGTAACAGAGTCTTCTCATCTGTAAAGTGGGGCTGTGCTCATGGGTGGATGTGAGGGTCAGAGGAGATGCCCGTGAGCCTCAGGGCACCAGGCACTGTGGAGCCCCAGGCTGGCCAACAGGTCACCTTGGCCTGCTCTGCAGCGCACCTAAGCTGCAGGACTTACCAGGGCTGGACATCCTCCTGCAGCAGCTCTTCCCACCTACAGAGTTGTGGGCAAGACCGCAGTAAACATTTATTGATTCTTATAGTTCAAGTACAGCTGGCCCTGTGTGAATAAGGCAGCAGGGCCTGAGGTCAGTGCCAAAGCACCCTCTCTTGGATGTTCCTTATTATTATGAAAATTTGCAAATACATTAAAATGCTAAAAGGTTTTTTTGCTTTATCTATCTGTCCATCAATCCATTTTATCTTTTAACACAAAATAAATTGCAGACATCAGGACATTTCAACTCTGAACACTTCAGCATGCATATCATTAACTAAGATTCAAGACTTGTTTTTTGTTTTCAAGGTGAAATTTACATTCAGTGACAAGCGCACGTCTTCAGTGTTGGGTGTTACTTTTTGGAAACTGGTTCCTAACTTTGATTTCCCTCCACAGGGCAGAGTGGAGTGGATGTGCTTGGGAGGCTGGGGCTTTCTGACTCGGTCCCGGTAGGGAGCTGGGGTGGGGTGAGGTGAGGACTTAGGGTCATGCCCAGGACTGGGAGGCAGCATAGGCGTGGGCCTGGGCCATGCTGGGGTTCTTTTTTTCAGCAGGGGGGGCGGACAGAGTCTCTCACTCTCTCACCCAGGATGGAGTGCAGTGGCCTGATCACACCTCACTGCAGCCTCAACCTCCCTGGGCTCAGGTGATGCTCCCACCTCAGCCTCCCCAGTAGCTGGGATTACAGGCACACACCACCACGCCCAGCTAATTTTTGTATATTTTGCAGAGATGAGGTTTTGCCATGTTACCCAAGCGGGGGTCAAATTTCTGGGCTCAAGCAATCCACCTGCCTTGGCCTCCCAAAGTGCTGGGATTACAGGCGTGAGCCACTGCGCTTGGCCTGGGATTCTAATCTGGCTCTGCCACTTCCCAGCTGTGGGACTGTGAGCAGTTGGCTTCCCCTGCTGGAGCCTCCTCTATCCTGACCACAGGGCCTGGCTCAGAGGAGCACTGGGCAAGGAGCATGAAAAGGCTCTGACTTTACCTCAAACTCCTTCCCTGCAGGGTCTCTCGTTCATCACTTTTATCTGCTATGTGGCATCCTCAGCATCTGCCTTCCTCACAGCACCTCTACTGGAGTTCCTGCTGGCCTTGTTCTTCCTCTTTGCTGATGCCATGCAGCTGAATGACAAGTGGCAGGGCTTGTGCTGGCCCATGATGGTGAGGACAGGGGCCCCAGGAGGGAGGGGTACCCTGCACAAAGCGACCAAATGAGGAGTCTGGAGTCATGCACTTGGGCCCTTATCCTTTCTCCAGTGTGCTGGAGTTTGCAGTTGGTTAGAACTGGATGGAGAGACCAAGCTTCAGATCATCCCAGCTCCATTCCTCAGCAGCCCTGTGATCTGAAGTGGGCTCTGGTGCTTCTAGAGCACGTCTTTGAGGCAGGGAACCCGGAGAGGGGTCTCTGGCCACCAGGTGGCGCTGGTGCTCCCCACGGGGCTTGCAGGAATGAGCTGCCACCACAGGAATTCAAGCCATTTCCACGCGGGCAGGACAGGTTAACTGAGGACTTGCAGGGCTTACCCAGACCTCAGCCATCGGCAACCCTGACCTCGTTTTGTCACCTGTGAGGGCCCAGACCCCAGTGGACTTCGCTGAATGAAATGTGTCCTAGAGAAAGGGCAGCAAAGGCTGGACTTTAACCCTTGTCTCTTGACTTCATATCCAGCATCTGCTGCCTCAGGAGGGCTGCACCTCCCAAGTGTCCCCATCTTAAGGACAGGTCAGCAGAAACTGTGCTCCATAAATGGATCGGCCACAAGAGTGTGGCAAAGCCGAGGCGCAGAAACAGATCTCCCCATTGGAGAACAGCAAGGGAGCAGGTGGAGGTGTTTCCAACTTCTGCTTCCACTGCGTCGCAGGGCAGGCTGCAGCCTGACCCAGAGTTTTTTGTCCAGAGCTTAGGACAGCAGCCCCGCTGGACCTGGGATAGGGCAGTGTCAGCTGCTGGCAGGGCAGCTGAGGCACCTGGCGGGTGGGACAAGGGCCTAGGCATGTGGGTAGGGCCAGGATGGGGTAGGAGCCCTCAGGTGCTAGGCCTGGGGCTGAGAACAAGACCAGGCTGCCAGGCCTCCTCCCCATGCTGTGCTCAGCTCCAGGGGGCTCCAGGCAGCATGATGGTGTCCCTCTCTCCCCAGGACTTCCTGCGCTGTGTCACCGCAGCCCTCATCTACTTTGCCATCTCCATCACGGCCGTCGCCAAGTACTCGGATGGGGCTTCCAAAGCCGCTGGGGTGAGCAGCCGCCCCACCCCTCCGGAAACTGCAGATGCCACTCTAGCTGCTCACTTAGGGTGGGACCTGGGGCAGAGCCTTTCCCTGCTGGGGCCCCCCTAGGGTCTCATGTGGGTCCCGATGATGACTCCAAAGTCCTCTCATTAGAGATTGACTCTACCCGGAGTTTTGAAAGGCTGTTTGTCAAACCAAGTTCACAGCTCATTTTCCCACTTCTGTTACTCAGAGGGGTCTGTGCCTGTCACTCGGGCTGTCTGTCCAAGCAGGTCTGAAATGGGCCACAAGGCTGGGGCAGCCCTCCCGGAGCAGGGAGTCAGCGCTGTGATACGTCCCATCCACCCTGTCCACAGGTATTTGGCTTCTTTGCTACCATCGTGTTTGCAATTGATTTCTACCTGATCTTTAACGACGTGGCCAAATTCCTCAAACAAGGGGACTCTGCAGATGAGACCACAGCCCACAAGACAGAAGGTGAGCGGCCGGCCTGAACACCCCAGCAGTGCTGCAACAGGGGCCTGTCCTCCCTTGGGGATGGCCGGCTAGTTTGAGGCTGGGGTGGGATCATTTCCTCTCTCCCCATGGCAGTGTTTTTACAGCCCATTCTCACCTACTCTCATGCAGCACTGATCCAAAGCCAGTTTCATTCCCCTTGTGCCCCTCACCCCAGCCTTTTTAGGAAGGGCAAGCAGTGGGCATGGCTGAGCCAAGTCTCCCTGGACGACCCCCCTGGGCAGCCAGTCACTCTCAGGGCACCTGTCCACCTGGGATCCAGAGTGGCCACCCCCCCAACCCAGCCCCTCTGCTGTCTTACCCATCCAGGCCTGTCCTGGGGAGCTCAGAGGCCAGAGAGCAGTCAGACCCAGAAACCATGGCAACGGACACATGATGTGTCCCATACCAGGGGAGGGGCCAGATGGGACAGCAATGACAACAGTAAAACAGGAGCTGATAGAAGTAGGGATACAGTAGCTGAAAGCAGGCCCACACTGAGTGCCAGCCAGCCTGAGGCTCCAGAGGGGACGCTAGAGCTGGGTCTTGATGGATGGCGGTAGAGGAGGGTGCAGGCAGAAGAGACCAGGCTGGTGCGGGAAGAAAACTGAGAGCAGAGACAGCAGGTGCTTCTGCCCGGGAGATGCTTCTCTGGACCAGGCGGATGTGCCCCTGTGCTGGCAGTGCCTGTGGCTGGGCAGGTAGACAAGGGCAGCTCTGGAAGGGCCTGCAGGCCCCAACCTGTGGGTGGGATCTTCCCCAGGCAGAACCAGGCTTAAGAGACACTAGTTTCCTAATAGCCAGGTGCTGGGGCCATGGGGATTTGTGAATCCCAGAAACTGTCCTTTTGCTCAAAATGAATGCCACTCATCCCATTCCATCCCTTGGCAAATACTAGGTTAGAGCTCCCAGGCGGTTTCCTCTGGCTCTGCAGCCTGCTCCCAGTTGCCCACAGCAAGTGATCCCAGCCAGCCAGCCCAGGGAACAATTAGTAAACGTCAGTGGAAACTTGGGAGGTTTTTTTTTTTTTCTTTTTTTACTATTTGAAGAGTTTCACATATGTAACAATTATTTTGCTGTAAAATTATTCCTGACTTGTATGTTAGAATTGAATGTAGCGGCCAAGCACAGTGGCTCATGCCTGTCATCTCAACACTTTGGGAGGCCGAGGTGGGTGGATCACTTGAGGTCAGGAGTTTGAGACTAGCCTGGCCAACATGGTGAAACCCCATCTCTACTAAAAATACAAAAATTAGCCGAGCATGGTGGTGCCCACCTGTAATCCCAGCTACTTGGGAGGTTGAGGCAGGATAATCGCCTGATTTTGGGAGGCGGAGGTTGCAGTGACTTGAGATCACAACATTGCACTCCAGCCTGGGCAACAGAGCGCGACTCCATCTCGGGGGGAAAACAAAAAATTGAATATAGCAAACCCCACAAAATCTGAGGAGTGCAGCCCAGGAAGAGGAGTAAGGGGCAGAGCTGGGGTTTAGGGACTAGGCTGCCCACACCCAAGCCCTGGGCCCGGCCATGAGCCAGTGATAGCGTGGGGACTGACGGGTTCTGAGAGACAGAGGCTGGCCAGGGAGGGGATGAACATCAGGAAGTAGCAACCAGCACTGGGGCGGAGTGGGGGGTTAGTGACTCTGGTGCTTTTCCTTCTGGGGTGGAGGTTCCAGAAGGCTCTACAGAGCTCCCTTCAGTATTGGGATTTCAGGAACCCTCGAGGCACACCTCATAGGCAGGCCCTTACCATTATAAAATTGTTTCTGATTACAATATTAAACAAGGATTGGGAAAGGGGATTGAAGATATAAAATGGCTAAAAAGAGGCTTGCTGATTTTCCAGGATATTTAGTTTGGGGGACAAGAAAATCATCATCCTTACCTTGTCCTGCTGAACCTGGGGGTGGGGATAGAGCTGGGATGCAGAGGTACAGCCCTGACCCGCCCAGCTGAGAACAGCCCAGGGAGACTCGGGAGGGGCTGGGCCTGAGGAAGGGGTACCTGGGCTTCAGTCTTGGGGTGGAAACACCCCCACCTGCACCCGTACCCACACCCTGGAGGTGCAAGTGGCTGCTGTGGCCGGGCGCGGTGGCTCACGCCTGTTACCCCAGCACTTTGGGAGGCCGAGGCAGATAGATCACCTGAGTTCAGGAGTTCAAGACCAGCCTGACCAATATGGTGAAACCCCATCTCTACTAAAAATACAAAAATTAGCCGGGCGTGGTGGCGCACGCTTATAATCCCAGCTACCGGAGGCTGAAGCAGGAGAATCGCTTGAACCCGGGAAGGTGGAAGTTGCAGTGAGCCGAGATCGTGCCATTGCACTCCAGCCTGGGTGATGAGCAAGACTCTATCTCAAAAAAAAAAAAAAAAAAAAAAAACCAAAGTGGCTGCTGCCTCTGGAAGGCCTCAGGCCTGGGGCCTGCCCTGATGCCAGCGATCACTGGGAATGGTAGCGTCAGCTGTGAGCGGCCTGCACCCAGGCTCCTGCCAGCAACCCAACTGTGCTTCCCCAGAGACCATTCCCGGGCACCACTGCCCTCAGCCTCCTGCCAAGCATCCTCTCTGCTTTCCTTTCAGAAGAAAATTCCGACTCGGACTCTGACTGAAGGCCTGGCGGGTGCCCTGGCAACCTGAGCCACACAGGCCTCCACTCCTGCGCCTCACAGGGGACACTGGCGTTGGAGGGGAGGCCTGGACTTCTGAGTTGCAGAGGGGGCTGCAGACACAGCAGGCCCTCCACAGCTTCAGGTTCTGCCTGAGCCCAGCCTACCAGGCTTGCCCCTCAGCTCAGCACTGTTGACCATGCTGCGTGTGAGGGCATCTTGGGTGTCCCACCCCTTCTCCCCATTTCTGTCCCACAAGCCTTCAGCCCTTTAACCTCTCTGCCAAAAACCAGCACAAGGAGACAAAGCAGAGCCTTGTCTCCACCTGGGCAGCAGGCGTTCCAAGCTGCTAGGTGGTGGGGGTCGGGGGTCTTCTGTTTCACTAACAGGAACAAAGACAGAAACCGTGACAGGGCTGCCCCGCCAGACCCCGCTGGGTTTGTCTGCACTTGGTGCTCCTGCCCACGCCAGGCACTTTGGTGACAATGACCCTTCCAAGAATCTTTGGTTCAAGGAGCACCAGTTCCCTCTTCATTCGTGAAGCAGGGAGAAACTGACCTTTGCCTTGTCGCTCAGGAGAGTGGGGCTCCGCACCCATAACTGACACCTCCCACCCTTGGAAACCATGTTTTCTGGGGGTGAGATGACCATTCTGGGTCTAAGACTGTTTCAAAGAAGAGCTCATAGACTGACTGGACCAGAAGACAGAGGGTACAACAGTGACGTCACAGTGACAGTGTCACAGGGAGCTGGGCGGGCCCAGCCAAACCCTTCTTCTTCCTAAGCCCAGGCAGCAGGCAGGAGTTCCTGGACCCTCAGGACAGTGAACTTCCAGACCCCAGGGCAGGTCTATGGGCCACTGCGGGAGATGAGACCAGCCTTCTGTGTTCACCTAACGACTTATACTGTGTATCTGTCTTTGATGGAATTTTGTAACTTTTTATATATTTTTTATACAAAAGCAGCTTCTTAACAGATGGCATTCTCTGTGACTCTAGGCCTCACAAAAGAGCCAGAGTTCTGGACCCATGTTTGGAGCATCTGTAGCCTTATTCTCTTGCATGTGAATCTCTTACCCTGAAAAAAAGCCATAATGAATTAAGCCAGACTGACCACTTGCTTGGAGTGTGTGTTTGAAAAAACTGGAGTAATACTGTTGGGTATCATGTCAGGCTTCAGTACAAGCTGGTAAGGCCAGTGTGGATCCTGTCAGTTTTCAGTGTTAGCAAAAATACACATGAAATCTGACTACCATTTAATCCTTTATTTCAGTGGTCCCTAACCTTTTTGGCACCAGGGACCAGTTTCGTGGAAGACAGTTTTTCCACGGACTGGGGATTGGGGGGTAGGTTGGGGTGAGGGTGGGAGGGGATGGTTTCAGGATGAAACTGTTCCATCTCACATCATCAAGCATTAGATGTTCATAAGGAGCACACAACCTAGATCCACAGCATGCACAGTTTACAACAGGATTCGTGTTCCTATGAGAACCTAATCCCACTGCCGGGCTGACAGGACGTGGAGCTCAGTTGCTTGCCACTCACCTCCTGCTGTGCAGCCTGGCTCCTAACAGGCCCCATGGTACCAGTCCACTGCCCAGGGGTTGGGGACCCTGGCTCTAGTTCTCACACTATCCTGTTTTACAAACAAAGAAACTGAGACAAAGGTCGGGTAACTGGCCCAGGGCCCTCTCACTTACACATCAGGATAGTGTCTCACAGCAGCCTCAGGCAGCGGGAACCCTGGGGCTCTCTAACAGCCCAGAGAACTGCAGCCCTGGAGGACCCAGGTCAGCGTTCTTGTCCAGGCTGATGGGAAAAGACAAGACATTCCACCCAAACTGTCACACACCACATGTGCTGAAAATGCATATGAAAGCTGGGTGTGCAGGAGCGGAGAGGCCCCTGGTGGAATTTACGTTCCACCTTGTCAGCCCTGGCAAAGCGGCAAAGCTGGTGTCACAGAGGCCTTGTTCCACCGAGGATCATGGCTCTGTTCAACCTCCACACAGCAGCCCTGTTTCAGGAACTGGATCCATAACCTTAACCTTTAAGGGGCAGAGGAGGCCAGCCAGAGTGAGGAGAGACAACGACATCCTTACACGTCCATTTATTAAGAGTTCCTTCATGACGATTTAATACAATAGTTATTAACGATTAGTGTTGAGAAAATTATTTTCCTCTACATACAAAAATACAGATTTGAACACTATGAAAAAGATCAAGACAAGTACCGTGAAAAATTGGTCCTTCAAATGAAAGGGGGAAAATTGAGGGCAATGTGAGGCTTTGCCTGCTGTCGGGGACAAATCAATAGCAGCAAAGCTTTGGGGCCCCAACCCACTCCAGACATACAGACTTGAACCCGAGAGCCAGGCCAGCCAGGGGGCACCCACCCAGGGCTTCCGTAGCTGAAAAACCAAACACATAAACCTAAGTTTGCCCAATGGGCATTGCCTCAGAAAGCCCACAGTTGTGTCTTTAAACTGCCAGAATGAAAGAGACTTAACAAGTAAAATGTGATAGTTGTTAATATTGCCCCCCAAAAGTGCCACCAGGTGAAGTACCACGGGTAAATCATATTGGAAAGTTACTACTTAGCCATCTGGCTTGACTTCCTTGGTTATCAAATAATTACATATTCTGACCCTTCAGAAGGACATCAAAAGCTACGATTTTATGTTTCAATCCATCTGTACCTTCATTTGCAATGGCTCAGCTAGTTTATTCAAGGGTTTTGGGACCAGCCATAACTCACGCCCTGCAGGAAGGAGAGGCGAAAGGAGCTGCTGAAGAGTATATGTCTGTGTCTTGGTGTCATCTAGCTCCTCACAGCAAGCAGCCTGTTTTGTTCAGGCCTGAAGCCTGGAATATGCCACCAAGCCTAGCCAGAGCATCCACAACGAACCAATACGAGATCCGAGTGGAAGGTGAGAGCTCCGGAGCCGGCTGAGGTCCCCCGGGAAGCTTCCCACTCTGTAGTGGCAGGAAGGCTGCGCCTCTGCAGGACGCCTGCACTGATCCTGGAAGGGGCCCAGGCCAGAGAATACACCTGGGCTCAGTTCACCAGCCCAAACCACAGGGGAAGGAGCCAGACGCCGGCCTTTCACCATTTTACACCCAAAGACAGGTCAGGGCTCTGATGCTACTCTTTTGTTTGTAAAATATGGAACCACTTTCTTTGTACTGTTTGAGGTGAGCAGTGGCTCCAAACTGAGCAAGTGGTTAAAAAATGCCAATGCAATTATACTGACTTATAATTATTTCACAGAAATATACTCTTACTCTCAGACTATTTAAATAAGCAGGAACAAGATGTGGGAGAAGCAGCAGCAGAGAGGAAAGAGGAATAGCCAGGGAATTTTTTTGTTGTTTTTTCCTTCTTTAAAATACATACGAAGTGTAAAGAGAAAATGGCCAAAACCTCAAAACTACCATTGTTGAAAACAATATTAAAAGGACACAATCTAAAATCATGCTATAAAAATAGTGTTATCTGGCTTAACTAAATGTACATCTTTTTTTCCAATTCCATGATTGACAAGAGTGCTTATGCGACGCATGGAAGGCACCAGAGGTGAAGTGATTATTTGCCTTAAAATATACAAAGACAGAATTGCCTACTTTGAAAAAAAAAATAGTCATACTTGTAAATAAATATGTTTCTGCCATGGGTTCCTGAACCCCTACAAATTTCAACATATACAAATAGTTTCAATTCCTAGCATTCTCTTAGAGGGAACCATGTCAAACAAAATCAAGTTAGGAAAAGCACTGATTTTATCCAAGTAGGTCAATTTGAGGCAAGATTCAAAAACTCATTTTAAAATGGGTTACAGAGTGAAAGAGTTGGGAGCAGGCAGCCCCCTTTGGGCCTGGGCCAGCCTACAAGTCCATCCCAGGTGTCCTGCCCTCGCATCTGCCAGCCCTCGAGCCAGCCAGGTCTCTCTTCAAACCCTGAGTATTTGCCTTCCTCACTTCTGCAAAGAGGGGAACAGAGTCTTGAAACTTGCAAAATCGACTCTGGAAAAAGCAGGCAAGCAAAGCAGGGCCTGTGGGGGGAAGCAGCGTGAGTCAGGCCTCACCCTGGTGCAAGGGCACCAAGTCTCCCTCCTCTCCCCTCGTCTCCTCACCATCCCTTCGCGTGACTGACTTTCCTGATAAAAATGGGGTACTTCCTACTGGGTGTCTGCACTGTCATCCTAAGGCAACTCAAGACATGATAGTTTTAGACTATGATCAAATCTCACACAAACCATTATCAGAATCTTGTTTCACACCATCTCTCTTTTCAGGAACAGTTAGGAAAAGACACTCTGGCCTGGCCCTAAATCCCATTAGCAAAGCTGACTAAGGTGGTCTGAGATATGTTCTTACTCCTAAACTTAAACTTCAAAAGTTTCGATAGCTCCCTGGGGTCCAAGCCAAAGGCTCCCTGGCCTTTCTGTATTATGCATCCCAAAGAAAACACGCCACCCCAGGTGTCTAGATAGCAGTCACCTGAATTAAAGCCTCAGCATAAAAAAACATAGACAACAAACTTACCCTATGAAATAGATACACCATTCAAGGACCCATCATCTAAACTTTTCTAGGCAAGCTGCCAGTGATTCAAACTCAGCGGGCTTGTGGGTGATTTTTTCCCTTACTGTTATGTTTGTGAATAGGAAAAACTAGAAAGGAAAAAAAAAAATCCCAAAGGTTGAAAAACTGTATTCAAATGGAAAAAGAATATATCCCAGACAAAAGAAGAGAATATAACAGGACCTATTCCGCTTCAAGCTGAAGAGTGTACAAATGCTACTCACTCACATGGAGAAGAATTAAACAGAACATTCACTTTCAGAAGAACATTCTTCTAGACGTAATAGATATTGAAGGTATTTTCTCTCACAGTTTCTAAATAAAAGAAACATAAAAGGTCAAATATTTTAAATTACTTTCTCGACCAGACAGTTCTTGTGATTTGAATGACATCTGCTGAGAAGAGAAGAAACACAAGATTCTATAAAGCGCCAGGGAAGTTTACAAAGCTGAAAGCTGAGGGTGTCAGGCCTGCGTCCTGTCTGAGATGGCAGCCAAGCCAGCTTCAGAGTCACCTGCTGGACCCACATGTTCCTGAGCCAGATGCCAGGAGCTCACCCATAGCAGGGGGAAGACCTGTCCCCAGCATCCCACTCTTGCCCTCAAGCTGACTGTGGAACATGAGACAGCTTTCAAAGACAAGAGGACAGGAAGGCAGTTAACCAAGTACACGTTTCCAAGATAGCCTGAGCTGTCTAGTGCTGATGGAAGACAGGCGGGGTGTTCCAGGCCACCGCTTCCTCCCTCATCTCCCAGACCTGACTGTGTGTGGACCTCACCAGCCTACCAAGCTGTTGGGCCTGGACATGGGTGCTGATAAAATAAGACAAACCTGGAAAAAACCCTGGATTCTGCAGCTTCACTGGGAACTAACAAGGCACCTGGAGACCTCACAAGCTAATGGCAGTCCCTGGAGCAGGAAGCAACTTGTTATTCTGCTCAAGAGAATCCACCAGTAGCTCTTGGCCTAGAAACTTTTTTCCCCTTTCTGATACCTGTTTAACGTCATTATTTCTCTGTAAACAAGATCTGGAGAAGATGACAGTCAGGCGGTGGCACAAAGACTTCATGATCGCTTTGTTTTGAACACAGATGAGACAATGGGAACCCTTAAATCATCACTGCCTTGCAGAATCACTAAATTGGTCAGGTGTCTCCACGCTCTATTCATCTCCTAGGTGTTAAGACCAACCCACAGAAAATCTGGCGATTTACCTCGCCAGGGAGGGATTAGACCTCAGTCCACCTCTTAGAGCACATGGATAGGTGAGGTTTTCTCATGTGAATCTACAGGAAAACACGTCTGGGCCACACGCAGGACATGACACACACTAGGGTTGTTCAGGGCTCATTCACTGCAAGCAAGAATTCATATACATGAGTGCACAAAGGTGCTGGAGCTTGGTCTCCTCAGGCTTAACCCAATGCTGACTCACTAGGACAGCTTCCAAGAACCACAGATTAAACTGCAAACTTGAAGAGAGTCAAAATGTTTTCAACTGAGTCACGAAGCTCTCCCAGAAGCACCCGACATAGGGTGGAGGTCAGACACATTCCGTGGCTGCCCACAGGCGTGAGCCTTCCTGCCAGGGGACAGTAACAGGACCCAAAGGGCTGCGGGTGCCACCGACTTCCCAGGGCCAAGCCCTCAGAGCTGGGCTGGCCTTGCCCATGCTGGCTTTAGCTCACGTTGCCAAGGAAGATGTGTATTGGGGCTGTGCAGGGTGCCACATTCTTGCTTTTTCTGTAGACAAAAGTCACCTCCCTCGGATGGCTGTTCACTTCAAGTCGAACTTATCTGACGAGATTTTAATCTGTAACTGCATCTGCTCTTCCCAGCTTTATGTGGGGCCAGCAAGTATCTTCAGCCTTTCATGACTGCAATCCCTCTTTAAGGCAGGGAAAGCGTATTTCCCTCCCCTGCCTTCAGCAGTGTGAAGGAAGGATATCAAAGAGAATCAGGGAAAAAATACCAAATCCACCCAATCAGTGCCAAAATAAACTTTCTCTGAGGACGTCAGTGTTTGCATCCATCTAAAACCACCAGAGGTTCCACCAAATGCTTGAGGGTTTCAGCTGTACAGTGTCCAGGAACAAATCCAAATGCACATAGCAACTGCAGTTTCTTCAAGTTTTGCTTGAAATGTGAAAACCTATATCAACCCACCAGAACAGTGAGAAAAATTAAGGTCACTCAGCCTTCAAATGCCCCAAACCAAACTGATATTGGTCCCTATTGAAACTATTAAATGCAAAAACACTTCCTTCAATTTGCCAAGAGGTCATTTTAAGGCCCCCAGATATAGATTGTCTTCTGTTTGCACAGAGGCAATATAAGAAAAATATAGGCATCTTCACGTTCACCGTGGACAACCCTATTCCCTCCAGAACTTTCGGCACCACATGGTCTATACATGATGAGATGTGCAACCACACATTACATCAACTAGAAAGTGTCCATGGCACCACTTCCGGTCCTAGTGGGAGTTAATTAAATACAAGGAGAACATTTACAAAACCACGGGGGAGCCTCATGGCACAAAGGATATTAAATAGTTACAGGGACATAAATAATTCTGAAGAGTCTATCACGAAGATGCAAATTGACTCGTAAGTCACTCTGTGGCGTGGCATCCTTTTTGGTCATTCATCTGCATTTAGTTTCAGTGACTTCGGAACTATTTCTTGCAGCTGACAACATATCCTCGGGAGGCCGACCACCTGCTCCCACTTTCACCAGATGATCAAGTGGTTTTACTGAAGTGACCTGGAAAACTTGGGCAACAAGCCCACCTGAATGGTGTTGTTTTTAATCCCACTTCAAAGGTGGCCTTTTTTGGGGGCCAAGTAACAAGATTCCCAGCAAGAGATTTCTGATAAAGCTCAGGGTGGTCCTTCCAAGTGCGCCCCATTTAATGCAAGGCTGAGCCTCTGTGGCCCTATTTTAAAAGGGACTCTTAAAGGGAGATAAGCCCAGTTTTGACTTTGCAAACACACTCAACAGACCTGCCAGGCAGCACACCCAGCTGTGAGCCGGCCTGGCTGCCCTCTCTGTGGGAGCAGAGGGGAGACAGTTGTTAACAGGCTAGCAGGGTCAGCCCGAGACAGACATGGTGCTCAGCCACATAGCCTGGGCCACTGCTCCGAACTCAGATTGTACTCAATGTGTTGGTGCAGGGAGCTAACCCCAGCTCCGACCCCAGCCCAGCGGTGTTGCCTGATCAACACTGTGAGATCAGATGCTATCCTTTCCCGGGGAATGAGATGCCACATGTGCATAAGGGGACGCTTTCTCACAAAGACCCCCGCCGCCCCCTCAGAGTTATTTATTACGCAGTACACTGCTAAAGCTGTCAACATTTGTCAGCACTTGATCTTGGGGATTTCTCCACATTACTGCAAAATCTTCCTACCACAGTAAGTGCTTTTTGGTGAGGGCTAAACACAAAATGTTAGAGCTAGAGTGAGGTTTGTAAACATTAAAAACAGTTCAAAGAGTGAAAACCTGACAAACTAAACCAACTTTTTTCCATAAAAGATATAATTAGTCTCTAATTAAAAAAAAAAAAAAAAACTACTGCATCATGGGGACTCACTGAACTCATTCACCACACACAATAATCTTCACTTTATCAATAATCAATCAGAAACCTTAAGCAGCTAGGATTTTTCACCCCAACAACTCCCAAGAATGATGTCTGTAGTTATGACACTGAGGCGCCCAAAGCAACAGTTAGTGCCTTTTGAAACATGGGTGGAAGGGTGTGTTCTGGTGCAAATTCAAGTATTTTCAAATCCTAGACGAATCTGCTCAGAATCACGTTAGAACTCTTTGCAGGCATTTAGAAAATTAGCACACAACCCTAAAATAGAGGCGGGTGTGTGTGTGTGTGCGCGTGTGCGCATGTGCATGCTGTTTTTTAACACAACCACATACCTCCCACCTGCAGTCCATGAAGCCAGCAAATGGGCAAGTGCTTTGGCTGGTGGAATAGGCTTGTTTCTTTCATGGCTTTTACCTGAGAAGGTAAAATGACTGAAAATCTGCAGTTCAGCCTCAAAGTACTTAGGGTAGGCAGGAAACTGGAAAACAAGATGGTCCCCATATTCCTGGAGAAGAATCTGGGGTTCAGGAAGCTGATTCATTTGAGGAAGAATCAAGTGATTTCTCATCAGAGTAGGAAACAAAAGGTAACCCTCCCATGAGTCACAGGTCCCTGGGAGCCATCCTAATAGGACATTAGCTTTCCCCAACCCTGTGGCCTTTGGGCTGGTGCTGGCTGCCTGGGGGCCCTGGCATGGAAGACGAGGAGTGGGTTGGATCCTGGCAGCCAGACTCAACACTGACTTGGAGCAGGTGGTGCCTAAGGCTGCCTGAGAACCACTGCCGACTGACCGTTCCAATGCTGTCCCTTCATTCCTTCATATTTCCCCCCCTTTTAGCAGCCCCATTTAATCCAAAGTCATCTTGTTACAAATACACATGACAGGGTGGCTCAGAGTCAAAGGAAGCCTGTGCTTCAGGGCAGGTAAGACCACAAGTGGACCTGGGCAGTGACACTGGCTGCTCCACAGCCCCAAACACCAAGGAACATGGGCGTCCTGACTCCACCGCAGACCCGCCCACTGGGCCACTCGGGAAACCCTTTCCCAAAATGAACTTTTACCAAAGAGGACAAAATTCAACTGAATCACATGGAAATCTGACACAACAAGGGAAAGAAAACTTGACTGAGAGACGGGCACAAGGACGGGAGGGAGGAGGATCCAGGCAGGTCCTCACGTGTCCAGGCGCTGGATCTCAGGGCGACTGTCCACATCCCTGGACTCTGTGCGGGCTCGGATGTAGTCATTGGTGCTCTGCTGGCGGACGCTGACTCTCCATTTCTGCACTGCCAGGAATGTGTTCACTGCATATGCTGCAGTCGCCAAGAAGCCAAATATCTAAAACACACCAGCACAGTTAGTCCTCGGGCACGTGGCCTAGCCCCCCAAGGCTTCCGTGGTGACCCAAGCCACGTGCAGCCCCTTCCTGCTCTGCCAACTGACCACTACAACCCTGTGCCTTCATTCTTTGATCTCTTTCCCCTCTCAGCAGCCCCATTTAATCTAAAGTCTTGTTTCAAATACATATGACAGGGTGGCTCAGAGTCAAAGGAAAGCCTGTGCCCAGCCCTGCTGGATGTGTGGCTGTCACACCACGGCTGAGTCTCTAGTCATGTGACACACAGAAAATCTTGCCTGACCTAAAGACAGCCTAAGGTTTCCTTTGAAGTATTGTGGACCTATAAGAAAAAAAAATCACAAAAGTACCTCTTTTACTGCACCTTCAGGGCCTCTGGTCCCAGATGAGAAAATACAGTGCAGACAAAATGTAACGTAGACAGAAAATCAGGGTTTTGCATGTGGGTCCCAAATCAAGCCACAGGGCCAAACGTTCCACATCACAGCCCCCATCCCACACCTGCCTCTCACTGGGCAGCTCCAAGGAAGCAGCTCCAGAGTGAGAAGCACAGAGTTTTAATTATTAAGACTGACAAATCTCCTGAGTGGTACCTGAGAGAACAGCTAGTTTAATCATTTATAAACCTTTTAATCCCCCCATTACAAAAAGGATACCTGTTCCTCATAAACTGAGAGCAATACAGAAATGCAGGGCATGCAGAGGGAAAGTCCTACATTATCTGGTCCCCACCCGCCATGGCATTTCCACCTTGAAATGTCATGTGACTGCTAAACGGCATCATGACTGCATTCAAGAACCCTCCCCTCCCTTCCCAGGCAGGCAAGGCTCTTTCTTTTTTTTCTTTTTCTTTTTTTCTTTTGAGACAGAGGCTCGCTCAGTTGCCCAGGCTGGAGTTCAGTGGCGTGATCTCAGCTCACCGCAAGCTCCGCCTGCCGGGTTCACGCCATTCTCCTGCCTCAGCCTCCTGAGTATCTGGGACTACAGGCACCTGCCACCACACCTAGCTAATTTTTTTGTATTTTTGATAGAGACGGGGTTTCACCGTGGTCTCAATCTCCTGACCTCATGATCCACCCGCCTCAGCCTTCCAAAGTGCTGGGATTATAGGCGTGAGCCACCATGCCCGGCCAGGTAAGGCTCTTAAACAACATCACTGACAATCATCAAGGACTGTGTTGGAAACGAACCAAAGCAGGGGTTCTTGAACTTGAGTATGCATCTGTATCATCCAGAGGGTTCATTCAAATACATTTCTGACTCAGTAGCTCTGGAGTGGAGCCTAAGGATGTCTAACAGATGCTGAGATTGCTGTTCTGGGGCCCATACTTTGAGAACCACAGCACTGAAGGGACTGGGACCCCCACTGGCCCAGTAACATCATCTTTAGCAAAGGAAAAGCCATAGGAGGGGGAGCAGGACAAATGCCAGGGACAGGCGAGCAGGTCACAGGAGGTCCCCAGATCAGCCTGCTTTAACCATTTGAGTTTGCTTACCACGGCAGCAATTTCTGCTCCGGCTCTGTGATTTAAAGTAGCCAGTACGATTGAAGCAATAAAGAAAAGGAAAGTGCTGAGTCCAGTGTTGACCAAATCCTAGAGAGAGAGAGACAAAATAAAACAAATGAGAAGAACCATTCCATCTTTGCTCTAAAAGCAACTGAAGAACTTTCAAAATAAGACCTACAATACCCAACCTCCCTGGTGGCTCCATATTTCAGTCTCAATGTCACAGGGTTACTGGTCACACAAAAGAAGGCAAAGTTTATGACACTACTTGATAAATCACGACCACAAAATCTTCATTTTCACCAACCCCACTACCCTTTCTGAAGAAATACTAACCAAAATTGATAACAGTAATTACCATTTAGAGGTCTGGTGCCATCCTTTAAAAACCACACTCAAATCATCTTGCTATGGACAAAGCTCTCCAGGGGTCCGAATGTACTAAAACTGGTGAAATCCCTCCAGCATTCCCCGCACTCACATGTGACATTCAAAACAAACTTTCACACATAGAAAGCACACAGCCAGACCTCACGCTCTTTCTCAAGCAGTCTTTCAAGCCTCTATGTCACTAAAGCCTGGTGAATTTTCTCCTAAGCTTCTCACACAGCACACATCCACCATTTCATAGATTTAACTCCTGTCTTATTTGTAGAAGGGAACATAGCACGGTAATGAAAGGTCACAGCCTAAGCAGGGTCCAAACCACCCATATGACTTTAGACAAGCTACTTTGTTTCTGTGCTTTACCTGAGAATGTACCCCATTCCTCCCAGCGTTGTTGAAGGAATTAAATGGAACTATACAGGTAAAGAGCCCAGCATGGTGCCTGGCCCACAGCTACGGTTGCTTACACATTTACTGTCACTTCTATTATTACCACTTTGGCCTGAGGCCCCCAGTAGCCTGGGTCATAACAGAGTACCTCTAAAACCTCTATAGGAAAAAAAATTCAAGAAAAAGCCCAAACTGCCTGAGTGCCAGGCTGATTACACTATAAACACCTGATGGGTCCTCTGGTCTGGCCTGGCTCCAAGGTCGATTTCCTCTTTTTGAAGATGTAAAGATGGCTGGTGCGGTGGCTCACACCTGTAATCCCAGCAGTTTGGGAGGCTGAGGTGGATGGATCACTTGAGGTCAGGTGTTCGAGACCAGCCTGGTCAACATGGTGAAACCCCATCTCTACTAAAAATACAAAAATTAGCTGGGCATGGTGGTGCACACCTGTAATCCCAGCTACTTGGGCAACTGAAGCATGAGAATCACTTGAACCCGGGAGGTAGAGGTTGCAGTGAGTTAAGATCGCGCCACTGCACTCCAACCCGGGTGACAGAGCAAGACTCTGTCTCAATAAAATAATAAAATAAGATGTAAAGAGACAATGCTGGCATCGTAACAGTGCTGAGCCTTGCAGCAGACAACCAACCTGCTCCTGGCTCACGGAAAGCTCTGCTCAGATACATCTGCCAGCAGGATGGGTTTCAGCTACGACCTGCGTAAGCCAGGGCAAATTTTTCACAAATTCAAACCAGAAAGCATTTAGTTACACTCAGCTCTGGTAAGATGCTATAGGGGTAAAAAGAGAATATAGAATATACTTCTCAAAGCAAAGACTATTCAGAAACAAGGGGAAAATATAATACACTGTGAGGTCAAACATCAAATAAAACAGTATTGACATTAACAGTGACTTTTTAAAAATAGAGATGCAGCAAAGGGCTAGAAAACAAACAGGCCAGGCACGGTGGCTCATGCCTGTAATCCCAGCACTTTGGGAGGCCGAGGCGGGCGGATCAGCTGAGGTTGGGAGTTCGAGACCAGCCTGACCAACACGGAAAAACCCCGTCTCTACTAAAAATACAAAATTTAGCTGGGTGTGGTGGCACATGCCTGTAATCCCAGCTACTCAGGAGGCTGAGGCAGGAGAATTGCTGGAACCCGGGAGGTGGAGGTTGCCGTGAGCTGAGACTGCAACATTGCACTCCAGCCTAGGCAACAAGAGCGAAACTCCGTCTCAAAAAAAAAAAAGAAAGAAAGAAAGAAAAAGAAAAGAGAAAACAGTCAAAAATGTTAAAGTTGTAGGAGTATCCATAGTTTTAAATTTGTGTTAGCAATGATCATTAACAATAGTGAATGGAGAATGAGATGATGAATGGGATCAGCGAATACAGGGAAAAAAATTTCAAAAAGCCTATTTTAAAAAGATACAAAATAATCTTCCAATATGATCTGAGGCTAAGGGACCAGATTAAACCAGGGGAAAAAAATGCCAGCAACTGCCAATAAGAGCATAACATATCTGCCTCCTCAAATCCCACTGAATTATATTTAAATACTGAAGCACTTGCTTAAAAGATGAATCTAAATATAATTGAGCTTCTAGGACTGTGCTGTCCAATAGGGCAAACACTAGCCATGTGTGACTAAAGTTAAACTAATTCATATAAGATAAAAAATTCCACTCTTCAATCACACTAGCCACAATTCAAGTGCTCGGTAGCCACATGTGACAAGTGGCTGCCTCAAGGGCAGAGCAGATCAGAAAACATTTCAATTATCAGAGCAGCTGCTATGGTACCACATTGCCCTGAGACCAATAACTAGGTCACAGAGATGGGGAAAGAAGGACATGTGAAACACTACCATGAGGGTGCACACAGTCAACTCAACTGCAGGACCCTCTACAGGATAAACGACCCAGTTTTTCTAACAAGTCAACAGAATAAAAAGAAAAAGGGGGGCCAGGTATGGTGACTCATGCCTATAATCCCAGCACTTTGGGAGGCCGAGGTGGGCGGATCACCTGAGGTCAGGAGATAGAGACCAGCCTGGCAAACATGGTAAAACCCCGTCTCTACTAAAAATACAAAAATTAGCTGGACCCCATCTCTACTAAAAATACAAAATTAGCCGTGGCCAGGTGTGGTGGCTCACACCTGTAATCCCAGCACTTTGGGAGGCTGAGGTGGGTGGACTGCCTGAGCTCAGGAGTTCGAGACCACCCTAGGCAACATAGCAAAACCCCATCTCTACTAAAACACAAAAAATTAGCCAGGCACAGTGGCATGCACCTGTAGTCCCAGTTACTCGGCAGGCTGGGGCAAGAGAATCGCTAGAGGCCAAGAGGTGGAGGTTGCAATGAGCCAAGATCTCGCCACTGCACTCCAGCCTGGGCGACAGAGTGAGACTCCCTCTCAAAAAAAAAAAAAAAAAAATTAGCTGGGCATAGTAGCATGCGCCTGTAGTCCCAGCTACTCAGGAGGCTGAGGCAGGAGACCTGCTTGAACCCGGGAGGCAGAGGTTGCAGTGAGCCCAGAATGCGCCACTGCACTCCTCTGAGCAACAGAGAGAGACTCTGTCTCAACAACAACAACAAAAGCGCAGGGCTGGGGGAATGGAGCTGTTTGCGGGGACCTTGTGTGCATCAAGATTTGAACAAAACAAATGTTGGCCAGGCGCAGTAGCTCACGCCTGTAATCCCAGCATTTTGGGAGGCCAAGGTGGGCGGATCACGAGGTCAGGAGATTGAGACCATCCTGGCTAACATGGTGAAACCCTATCTCTACCAAAAAATACAACAAAAATTAGCCAGGCCTGGTGGTGTGCACCTGTAGTCCCAGCTACTGGGGAAGCTAAGGCAGGAAAATGACGTAAACCCGGGAGACGGAGCTTGTAGTTTGCCGAGATCGCGCCACTGCACTCCAGCCTGGGCGACAGAGCAAGGCTCTGTTTCAAAAACAAATAAAAAAAAAGTAAAAAGACACTGTGGGCCGGGCCCGGTGGCTCAAGCCTGTAATCCCAGCACTTTGGGAGGCCGAGATGGGCAGACCACGAGGTCAGGAGATCGAGACCATCCTAGGTAACATGGTGAAACCCCGTCTCTACTAAAAAATACAAAAAACTAGCCAGGCGAGGTGGCGGGCGGCTGTAGTCCCACCTACTCGGGAGGCTGAGGCAGGAGAATGGCATAAACCCGGGAGGTGGAGCTTGCAGTGAGCTGAGATCCAGCCACTGCACTCCAGCCTGGGTGACAAAGCAAGACTCTGTCTCAAAAAAAAAAAAAAAAAAAAAGACATTGTGAGACAAAGGGAAAATCTGAATATGAACTGGATATTAAATAAAATTAAATATTGCTAATTCTATTGAGTATGACAATGGAATAGTGCCATTTGAAACACAGTGCTGTATTTTAAAAAGAAAGGTAGTGAGGAAACAAATGACAATGTTAAGCAACTATTGAACAAATACTTTCAAAAATGTGTATTCCTACCTAACACCTTAAAGCAAAATAAATCAAAGAGAATAAAAATTACATTTAAAAAGCAAAACCACAAAAGTATGTGTGTGTGTTTAAATAACCCTGGTCAAGAAGAACTTTCTAAGCATTATACCAAATGTAGAAACCTTCAAGTATAATCTTGACAAATATTAAACCTTAAATAACCATTTGACAAAATGGTCAATATTGGCCAGGCACAGTGGCTCACGTCTGTAATCCCAGCACTGTGGGTGGCTGAGGCAGGTGGACCACTTGAGGTCAGGAGTTTGAGACCACCCTGGCCAACATGGTGAACCACTGTCTCTACTAAAAACACAAAAAATTAGCTGGACGTGGTGGTGGGTGCCTGCAGTGCCAGCTACTCAGGAGGCTGAGTCAGGAGAATTGCTGGATTCTGGGAGGCAGAGGATGCAATGAGCAAAACTGCACCCCTGCACTCCAGCCTGGGTGACAGAGCAAGACTCTGTCTCAAAAAAAAAAAAAAATTTGGCCGGGCGCAGTGTCTCATGTCTATAATCCTAACACTTTGGGAGGCTGAGGCAGGCGGATCACCTGAAGTCAGGAGTTCAAGACAAAACTGGCCAACATGGTGAAATCCCATCTCTACTAAAATACAAAAATTAGCCAGGCGTGATGGCAGGTGCCTGTAATCCCAGCTACTCGAGAGGCCGAGGCAGGAGAATTGCTTGAACCCGGGAGACGGTGGTTGCAATGAGCCAAGATCGCGCCACTGCACTCCAGCCTGGGTGGCTGAGTGACACTCCGTCTCAAAAACCAAAAAACCAAAAAAAAAAAAAAAGTTCAATAT